TTGAGTACACAAGAGGGGGCTTTAATGAGCTCAGGTCTTTCAATTCACACTCTCTCTCACTATCTAGTGTGTTATACCTCGCATCTATTACTTGCCACTCTCTCATTTTACGCAATTTCTTTCGCTCCCTTTATTAAATTTTCAGCTATAATTATTTCAGGTTGAGTTAAATTTCTAATCGTTCGCGATTAGAAATTTAATTTGTACTGATGGGTATTGCTTTTAGGACGTTAGCTTGAAAGAACGCTTGGAAATTTAGTCAGGCATTCTTCTCATGGTTGGTAGCCATGTTCCAATTATGTGTGCGCCTTACTCTTCTGCGGGCCCTGGTGGTCGTTATTTCTATGGTGTTGCGGGCGGGCCCTTTTAAGTCGGTGTTGTTTTAGGCGCAGCTGCTGCCGTCGCCCCACGCCGCGTTTCCGTGTCCGTGTATGTACATAATCCCCGAAGTGCTTTCACTGTTCATGGCATTGCATGCGGAGCTCTAATGGGAAAATTAGGCGCCTTGTGTTAATTAGTCATGTTATCGATTGTGAAATTATTGTTAATCAATTGTTAGCCATGGCATGCATAGTTAAAGTTGCAATTGTTTTTTTTTCGTGTGTTGCAATGTTATAGTTCAGTTTCGGATGCTGTTTTCATCTGTCGTGAAGTCAAGACAAACTCAGGAACACGATGAGAAGGATATTTAAAAAAAAATATCCCAATCAAGTTGTTGACGAGTCAGAGTAGCGAGTTCTGTTTTTCTATAGGGAAAATTGCAATGAAATTATTATAGAAATATTTCGTTCCTGAAACATAAGTGTTCGGAAGTACGTTGACCGATTCAATGCATAATTAGGAACATTTTTGATCTCCGATTGCTCTGTATAAAACACTCTCATTTAGTTGTGTGAACTATTGGGTTAATTGTTAAGTGGAAAATATATCTCGGATCGCTTTATAATAAAAACTTATGTTCAATATTTTGTTGTGTGTTTATATTCGAACTGCTGAATTGCTCACAACACAGCGCAACTTTGCATTCGGTGTGACCGTGTAGGCTGTGAGCTGGGCTTGTGTTTGGTGGCCACGACGTCTCGAGTTGCCTAAGCCGTTACTAGTCGCACTTCTAAGTGACTCTTAGTGTCACCTCGCGACGGGAGTTATTTTCATCTCACGTGCTGTGTGCTTGTGCCGGAACTGTATTATGCTGTTCTTGCTGGGCTGACTTGTGCGACTTGAGCCTGTATGTAGTTCTATTTTGTTCTATCTACGGTTGGTACGTTCGTCAACATCCAATGATTGGACTGGAATTTGTTTTTTTTACGGAAACGAATTTATTCTGATGGTGTACATCTAGAAGTGCCATTTAAAACTGACTACGTAGATCATCAATGTAACCGAAACGCGGCCACTATAAAGTACTGAAAATTATCATGTATATCGGAAATGCTAGCCTAATTATAATAAACACAAATGAATTATCTTGGTTGAGTGTCTGCTGACGATTTGTAATAAAATAAATACAACTGTCCCAAATCTTCCCTCGCAGGAATAATTCAGAATAATTTTTTGTGGGTGCGGCCACTCCTTGGTGCCTATGAAGTTCCTCCGATATCGACCCGCTTGCGCGTATCGCGCTTGATGCTTCGCGTACGTGCGCCGCCCCGCCTCGTTCTCCTTCCTGTGTTCGCTACGTAGAGCTTCGTTGCAGTCACAGCACTTCAGCCTCGGTGAATTTCTGCCGACCCTGTCTCTTCCGATTTTCTGAATAGGGAAGAAATCACGCACTAAAAATATTACCAATATTATTTATATTATGAGACTCCAAGAAGTTGTTAGAACGGTAACTTTGATTAAGCTAGAAGTGTTGAGGATTTACTAGTTATTCTTTTATTGATTTAAACGATTGCATGTATCGATAATGTAACAATTTTAACAGTGGAATTTTTTCTATTTATTGCAGTTGAATAAAAAATTTCCCGAAATTGTTCGTATCTCCAGACAGGACGTAATGTGATAAACGTCAATAACCTGATGACTGATCGATGGAACAAATTAGGTGGTGGGAGTCCTTTGTTTGAAGAGTTCTCATGCCCTTTATATTGCCCTCGTGTCCAATAACCATCGCGAGGACAATATAATTAGATTTACTACTTAATATTGACAAATTTGCATTCGCGTAGCTTTATTGTTAAATTGCGAAGGCCGTTTTTCTTTCAACTGTAAATGACGGACTTAGCTTTACGTTGTTGACCTTTGGTCTACTCTCAATCGTTTTGTATTTTACCACCGTAGCTAATTCCTAAATAAAACAACGTATTTTATAGTGTTCCGGTGCATTAGTGGAGTGTTCCGTTTCCAAAATAATGGAAAAAGAAATCCGGTGGAAATCCAAAAGAAATCCGGTGCATTTTCAATAGCATATATAATTACTGGAAATGTCATTTCCGTCTGTGTATTTCATTTTGTCCATTGCCGCCTATCATTCATTCCAGCTCATTACTGTAAAAAGTTTACCATTCCTGCTTGTTCGCCCTGATAAGCTGATTGATATTGATTTGCCCTGATTAGCTATATTGTATGATATGGCTGTTGGTTTTGATAAGAAATCTAATTGAAGAATCCAATATATATGCCATCCATAATTAATATATATACAATACTTACTAGGCCAAAGTCATAAGAACAGGAAAAATATTTTACACGCTTGATTGTTTTGAATAGAAACGTGAATATATATGCTTTTACTGCTTGAGTAGAAACGTAGGTATTTGTAGGTATTTAAAAAACTTCACACATTTGAATTCCAACGAAGCTCCTGCAAACATCATCAAAATATTTTCCCGAAATTGTTGCCATTTTCCTATCTTATTGTAATCCATGAATTACTTGTTTACTTGTGCTTCTCTTTTCGAATCTTCTGGATCTTTCTTTACATCATTCCGGATGCTTGCTATGCTCTGTTCCTGGTTTCCCCTTCCCGAGGGCGTATAGCCATCACTTCCCTCGCACCCTCGCAGGCCTAAGAAAACTTCCACGAAGCTCCCAAGCCTGAAATTGATCTTACCTTCCTGTGTCGGTACAAATTTTTTCCTTTCATTTAATCTAGTTTTTTTAGTGTTATGGAACCTTCAAATTCTCGATGACATTATTTTATTTTCTTGGTGCTGTTCTGGTAGACCGAAACATCTTTTTGTTCCGATAAATCACCGATGCTGAACAGAGCAAGAAGCGTTTTTCTGTCTTCTAGTCGCATCCGATGAGCGTCAACAAGCAGTTGAACAAGAGGTGTTCAACTTTTTTAACGATTTATTATTTATTTTTTTTTCACGTAATTTTTTATTACCTGGATTTTTATGATGAAAAATGTGAAATTTTTGGTGTGAATTCGTACTTGTTCTTCTTTTATCCTGAGTTGACTGTTATTCTTGCCGTTGATCCTATGGTGCCGTAAAGCTTGTTAGTGGTGAACTTCACAGCGTCGTTAAATTAGTGGTGGCTTTCTCGCACCTCTTCTGTAATATGATGACATTGGTGTGGCGTTCTTTGTTTCATCCGATCTTACTAAGCATTATTTTAGAATTTCTCTTTCGGAAATTCTCAAAACTTGTGTACATTACTGTGAGTTTAATAATGAATTGAGCTTCTGTTTTTCTCCATTGTCACTAATTGATGTGTTATAAATACGGTCATTCGTAAGCTCTGAAGTTGAGGATAGCGCCTTACGTGTCCTAATTATGTTAGGTCTTCCTTTGTGCAGCGTCTATGTGTTTGTCTCTGGGTAAATACTTACGAAGCCGTCGATACACGAATTGCAGCAGGATTTTTTATCATTCACTACGATTGTGCACATGGATTTGCCCTCATCTATCAAATTTGTACGTTACTTTCATAAAAAATGACCGCTTTTCCATCAAATAATGATGTTTATTGATTCTATTCAGACATTTCAGATTCGAGTAGTAGTATGAAAATTGTTGGCCCAGGTCCCCCCAAAAAATACACTAGTTGACATGTACCTACGGACCCTTTCTCTGTTAACTTCGCGTTTACTTTGGGTTCTATAATGGAGTGCAATGCGATCGATGCAAACTAAGATTTCTTATGAATCTTGGAGGAATCGAATTATATTCCATAACATTTCCGCTGTACACCGCTCTGGACTGTAATCTTATAGAAGATTTGCCTCCACGCGTGTAGCGAAAGGAGTGTTGGGACCTCGCCCCTCTTGCGAGGGAAATGTATAGTTCGGCTAGCGCGGCGGTAGCGTTCCGCGGCGTCGTCACGACAGTTACCCTCGAAGTGTCGTGGTGTGTGCACGCGTCAGATTTTCTTTCCTTATAGGCTTAGAGATTCGGCCACCAGGATGTGCTTTGTTGTGCAATGAAGTTCGTGTGCAGGCTTGGAGTTCTGTTTAGTTTTAAACAAAATATTTCATATTTGTTGGGGTTTTAATTCGTTCGTTAGTTTCCCGCCAAAAATTCTATTACCCGGCATTCAATATTCGATTGAAATGAGGTTTATATTTTCAGTGTTTGGCCTTGCAAGTTGTAGTTTCTTTTTGAAACGGAGTTGCCAATTTTTATTTATTTATATCATTATAATTTCTATAATTTTTTCTTTTATCCGAGTTATCAATAATGATCAGCGATAAATGGACTAAATTTTTTCGCTCAAGTATTTCCTTCAGTGTTAGAAATTTGATTAGTTGTTCTCTCCCTCGTCTTCTAGCGCCTCATCAGCTTAAGTTCTGACTTCTCGTCGCATTTATCTGCATGGACGTTAATTAACGAGCCCATTTTTCCACTTGACGGTTACGTTTACCAGAGTAGAATGTGCTCAAGTCATGATTTCGGATAGGTAGTAAAACTTTTTATTTTAATTTTTGTCCCAAATATTCTGTTGAACCCTATGAACTAACAAGCACAGTCAATCCTTTCAAAAAAATGTCTCTTAATAATTTCTTACGTGCCCACAGTAACACATTAACAAATATTTTAATTGGGTCAACAGAGCTATTTCATGCAATTTGCAGATAGGTGAATTTAAACTTAAATTTGAATAAAGAATTTCTAACGATTATATTAGCAATAGGGCTCGAGATACTCTGCGTTTAATAAGGATCTGAAGTGAATACTTTGTTCTGACGCAAAAAGATGAACAATGAACTCCGTGCTCACCTCGTTAGCGGATTTGTCTCTGCGTGAATCTTCTGATGGTCGTCTTGAGGTTCTTCAAGATCTCGACCTCTTCTACATCAAGCAGCTCGCTCACGGGCTCAAGGTATGCTTGTATTTTTCTGCACATTTCCAATCAATAATTTGCTGTTTACTCTGCTGGATCAAACTGTTCTGTAACATCTGCGGAGAGAAAGAGAAAAAACTGCCCAAACTTGTGCACAGTCAAATACTTGCCGTTCTTTGCGCTTTGACAAAGATATAATTAGAGCCGGTTATCTTGAAAGTTTATTTACAGACTGCAGGGCACGGAAATGCATTTGTACATTTTGTTTCTACGGTCCAGTATTCCCAGTAAGTTTGTCAAATGAGTTCCTTGAATTGCATTGTTGTATGCGCGCGATTTTTGCGATGTACTCGTGTGTGATTTTCGGCTCCTAATAATTTTTTTCACACAATGTTGTATTTTTGTCTTGATTGTTCGCTCATCAGGATTAATATTTTGGCGGCAGTTTGAAAAATGACTGCTTGCGTTTTCTGAGAAAAGACGCGAGCTAGAGAAATCGTATCAATTGCAGAATTTAACTCTGATTATGGATCGCCATTGTTCTGGAATTAATACGAGTTCTACTTGCAGGAATATGACTTGGAGCAGCGCATCGGTCTGGAGATCAAGATGCGAGAAGGCAGCAGCAAGCTGCTGGCTGCGTGCGGCGCCACGGCGGGCGCCAGGACGACGATGCCACATGCCCTGGAGGCGGCCAAAAGCCTCCTAACCTCCAATCACAGGATGGCGGCCTACATGGCAGAGCTGCAAAACCGCAGGAAACTCTCCCTCAGAAGCGCCTCCAGCCCTGCTGTACAGTGAGTCTTCTTATGCAGCTCGATGTAGCGTAAAGAGGGGTACAATGGGATATGTCGATTAATTTGTATATGAAGTCGCATAACGCATGTTTCTACCACGTCAGTCAATGCACTGATTAGTGTGACATTACTACCCTATATTGTTGTTAAATATTACCATTTAATCTGTAAAATAACTTGCGTGTCCTACTGCCCCTTTGTCCAACTGCATCCCATTTTCCCTATTTTGCCGTCTAAATATTCTAGTAGGTGACGAGTTACACGTTACGACTGATGGAATAACTAATTGGTATATAAAGGACACAATGATAGAAAAACTTGTTTTATCGATTCAAAGTTCGATGACATTCATGTCGTGCATCCTCATAACCACTAGGTTATTAGCAGTGGAACTTCCCCGGCGGATTATGAAAACTGATACATTGAAAGAGGTTTTTCGCAATTTTATCTCGTATTTGTGTGTGATCCGTAGGTACTCTCGGCTGTGCATAGTTCAGGAAGGAAGAGTAAAACTTTCGTTTTTTTTACAGAAGCATCCCTCCGTCAGTGGCGCGCGTTTGCATCTCGGACTTGCGGATGCCGCTCATCTGGAAAGATTCTGACCACTTCAAAAATCGTGGAGACTTCCGCAGGTACCTCCGTAATTATTCGTATGCTTAGTTCTTCAATGGCTTGATGTTGAAATGTGCGCAATGATTCCGATAATCTCACCGATGTTAACGGCCAAAAATTCTTATTGAAGTGACTAAATATAATAAAATTCGTATCTAGCTTGAATCAATGTTTTTTTTTTTTTGGCTTTGAATGTAAATTTTTAAAGTAAAAGGGTTAGTATTTTTATTTTATTCAACTAATTACGTAACTCTTTCAAATGAAATTGCCTATGCAGGATTTGAATTAAGTTCTAACGTTTGACGAACCGAATACTTCTTACATGACGAGGATGCTTAATTATTGAAGAGCAAGGCCCTAAGTTTATTTTTGTATTAAAAACATATGTAGAAGTATTCGTCGGTTTGACTGTTGTTGTTAAGGAAGAGCTCGGTAATTTTTTTTACATATTATTTCTTTCCTTCAGGTTATCGGATTCGTTGAATTTTTTTAATTGAATTTACTATCTCTTTCCATTGCAGGTTTGCGGTGTTCGTGCTACTGAAAATAGGAACTGAAATATACGACACGGCGATGATAAACCCTGTTGACCGCTCGATGACGGATATATGCTTTGACGACATCATCACTTTGTGAGTACTGCTCCACGCAATTACTCTCGTGTGTATGTTATTACAGAGAACTGACGTAATTTTATAATGTCCCTTTGTCCAAAAGAGTTTAAAAATCATTCTTCATCGTGTGGCTCCCTGATGAGGACTGTCGTTTATATTACAAGTCATTCCGCGCATTCTTAAGGCTTTTCTTACCCATTAATTTCTTTTCTTCCTTATTTCTTCCGATTTCTTTATGAAATAAATTGGAAGTCGAGTGTTATTAACTGTTTGTCTTCTCAGTTCTGGCATACCGGCGGACTTCAAGTGTGAGTTGGAGGTGTACAGCACCGTTCTGCACAACGATCTCACAATGGCGAGCACTCCTCGTAAACTTCGTAAGACTCTTCATTCGTCCATCAGTCGGACGGTGGGTAGGAAATTAGCGTCTTCCTTGAAAGATGAGCTGCAACAGCCACCTCAGCTCGGGCCGAAGATGGAGCTTGTCGCGACCGCAACGCTTGACGTGGACGACGTGTCGCCCGATATCGCCACTTACGATCTCACCCTCAGTAATATTGGTGAGTCTCTTTTAATATAAGTCAGTGATTCAATCCTTATAGAATAACTGCGAGTCTTGAACTCTAGAAGCAACAATAAAAACGGTCTATGAAATGCTTGTCAGCATCAGTCCGCACAACTATCGTAATTATCACTCCTTTTAATATCTGTCAGCCTCTCCACATTAATGCTCGTGATTCAAACTCCATCTAAAGGGACTTAAGTTTTAATCCATAAAAGGCTGTGAAGTGCCACCTGCGGTTACTTTTTAAGAACATTTTTTATAAAGTCGAAGCATATGCTGATTAGTGCGTAACATGTGCTGATTAGTGCGTAACATAATTAAACGCTTCAAATTGCCATCTGCAATCCAGGTTGCAATGGAAAAGGAAGAGCCGCTGTGTTTGCCTCGACGAAGGCAACCTTGTGTGCCTTGTATTTTTGTTGCTGCACAATCAACAGCTTTGGAGCCTGTTTTTCCTACAAGAGTCGTTGCATCCTAGGTCGCCCCCAATCGTGGTTCTTTTCACATGACTTTAGATGACTTCTGAATTAACACACTTGAAAAATTTCTAACTTAATAAAAGTATGAAAAGGCAAGCAAAAATGACAAATGAAATGATTAACTGCTTTTCTTAGTCGATGCTGTTTTGGCATCAACCATTTGCCAAGGATATCCAATGTGTAACTGTTGACTAGTGAATGTAGGCCTAACTGGATGCACTGCCGTGAAAAGTACTTTTTCTTCTGGATTTTTTTAGTATTGGTGTACGTTTGCGAGCTCATTGCAACGCTGGCTCGATTCAAGTATCCCGCCATATATTTTTAATTATATTTGTTGTTTTTTATCAAATTAAACTGAACATTAGCAAGAGAATAATGGTGATTTCATTATTTATGCATTGAATTCATGTTTATTTGTCAATACCAAAACTTGTTTGATAACTCTTGCAGAACCTCGCTCGCATCAACTACCTCTTTTTGGACACTTCTGTTGCCGCTTAGCCGCTGCTCCCGAGTGTCATTCCCAAGAAAGACTAGCAGCTTCTTTACATGTTCAGGTGCGTTTCTTCTCTTAAAAAGTCCGTCTTAGTTTATTCGTTGCTGGTATTCGATATGCAAGGTTCAAATAGTTCCTAGAATAGCAAGATTCGAGTGTCCTGGTACTGACATTGACACGTTATATAAATGCTTGATTAGAACGAATTAAAAATCAATATTTTATCAAGCAAGTGTCATTGCTGTTTTCAATAGCTTCAATATTAGCAAGATTCGAGTGTCCAGTAACTGATATTGATACGTTGTATAAATGCTTGATTAGAACAACTTAAAAAATGATATTTTATCGCGCAATTGTCATCGCTGTTTTTCAGATGCCAGAAATGTTCCAACAAATTAGGAATGTCGAAATGATTTACAAGATTGATTGGAAAGTAATTTAGGTATCAGTTATTCCATCTCTTTAATATTTGTCTGTAAATACAAATTAATGAACGTAGAATAATAAAAAAATTTCAGCACTTCCATTGTTGCAGAATTAACGATTCTGCAACAATGTTAATTGTTGCAGAATTTAACTAACTAACCTAGCTTCACATTTCACTGTTATCAACTACACCAGACAGGAGAAAAGCACTGTACAGTGGGCCAGTGTTGGGTGCGTCTGCAGGGCTGGAGACTCGAGGCCTGGGAGTCGCAAGAGGAAGCTCGCACCTCTGAACACCACCCACAGATCTGCGTCTCAGTAGACAGGGTGAGATAATGTACCCGCAGATCTGCGTCTCAGTAGATAGGGTGAGATAATGTACCAGTAGATCTGTGTCTCAGTAGACAGGGTGAGATAATGTACCCGCAGATCTGCATCTCAGTAGATGGGGTGAGATAATGTTACCCGCAGATCTGCATCTCAGTAGATGGGGTGAGATAATGTACCCGCCCGCAGATCTGCATCTCAGTAGACAGGGTGAGGTAATGTACCCGCAGATCTGCATCTCAGTAGACGGGGTGAGATAATGTTACCCGCAGATCTGCTTCTCAGTAGACAGGGTGAGATAATGTTACCCGCAGATCTGCATCTCAGTAGACAGGGTGAGATAATGTACCCGCAGATCTGCATCTCAGTAGACAGGGTGAGATAATGTATCCGCAGATTTGCGTCTCAGTAGACAGAGTGAGATAATCTGCCAGCAGATCTGTATATCACTAGTGACCAGACAGACGGAGAAAATTTAGCACAGGCCTTAGCAATCTGAATTCGGTGTTCTCACAGCTGACTGCAAGAAAGCATATGCAAATTATATTGTGATTAGATATTGAAAGGTTGTTTAGAAAGTGCCTGGTTGAGTCTTATAATCTTTATGGAAAAACTCACTTTCTGTTAAAAACCATTTTATTTCATTTTGTAATCTCTCAGATGCTAATTTCACTAGACATAGTAAGCAATCTGAAACGTTGCTAGCGCATGAATTTTTCAAGCTACAATTAATTTAGAACTGAATTCAATTGGAGGATGATGGCAAATGATACCAAAATGTTGTTAATGCAATCTAGTGAGCTGGATAACTTATGTTATTGATTGTTTTTTATTTGTCTGTGCAGCATTGTAAAATAGAGCGCGAGAGCATTCTGTGCGTGAGCGTGAATAACCACGAGGGCTTGGAGCGCGGTTGCTTTATGCTTACCTTCTCAGATGAACAAGCTGCTCAAGCTTGGTTCGACGTCCTCACGCAGGTACAATTTGTCTCATTGACTTCGGTCGTGCAACTTCGTTTTTCCAGAAGTTTTACAAACGTGGGTTTGATATCAATTTCTTAGAATTTTTTTCTTTTTCGTGTTCGACTGTTCACTCGTCGGCTTGAAAGATTTATTTCGATGAATAATAGTACAAAGTGTGCTTTTAATTTTACTTCATGACGTGTGATATGAATAATTATTTTACTGATCAACTCTGAAACCTTAAGCAAATTAGATACATGTCGCAGGTTGCATCAGACCACAAAGCATGGGGACCAGCCGCCGTAGAGGAGATGGAGATCTTGACGCCTCAGCCCCCACGCCATCCATTTATGCCGCTCGATTATAACTCAAGAAAAGGAAGATTCACTTCCTTGTACGAGGAGACGCCGCTCACTGGTACTCAATGTTAACTCAAGCATTAAGATATCGGTTGTTTAGATCAGAGATCTGCAAACTTTTTTACATGTTGCCCTAGTCATAAGACATCAATATGTCGCTTCCTTCCTACATGCACACGTATCTTCCAATAGGTTGAGCAAATTAATCCTCTATTGACATTTTCAAAGCTAAAATACAAAATTTTTAGAACCGAACGAATCTTATGTTGTAATTTCTATTTATAATGTTGAAAGTTCCAGAGAACTGAGTGAGAAAGAAAAGAATAGACGTTTACTCACTTTATTACTTTTTGTAGAAAAATTCATAATAACCGAATTATACGGAACTAAATGGGCCATTTGACATTAATACTAACTACCGTGAAAATAATAAATATAATGTTTATCATATTCCCAATAATCACTCTGCTAATTAATTGGAGAAATTTTTCATAATAATGATTAGTATGAAGATTAGCCTAACTATTCAACTATAAACTTGATGTTGATGAGATGGATGAGCTGTATTAGCATCAGCAGGGATATTGACATTATGTTTAAAATTGCCCAGCTTTAACCATACGTGCTGCCTAAAGCTCAGCTCTCTGCCTTAAGTTGAAAGCTCCGTACTTTTTTGGCTTTTTGAAGGTTCACAAATAATTGATAAATTTTTGTGTGGTTGCTGCATTGTGAGTAATTATACACTTTTGAACAATTAATTTTGTTCACACTATATTCATACTATAGTTTCCCTGTTTTCACATTTTTCATTGAAATTTAACCGAACTTGACCGGAAATAATGATATATTCATAAACTTTACATTATCTTTCCCTTCTCGCATCCTATAAAATTTATCCACGCTCTTTATATCTACCACTTAACGGAACCCCAATTTAAATGCATTAAAGCGGTCAACGGATTTTGGCTTCGTGCTAATAACAAAATTTACAAGCTTGAGGAAGCCAGGTTATTTTACTTATGTTAGTAGTAAACATATTACATGTAGTAACGTTTCTAAAAATAATTTTGAATTGTTTCTTTTTTCAAATAATATGATTACTCGGCACCTCCTTGATAGAAAAAGTAATAACGCCAAAGGCTGCAGATTATCTTGATCGCTGTAACAGAGAAACGAGATTAAGTATTCACGATTTTCAGATTGTTCGGACGGTTCTTCGAAGTCGTCGTCAGATGACCTGTACAGCTGCAGCTCAGTGCTGGGTTCCTACTGCCCGAGCCTACCTCCTCCAGCCACACCAACGCTGCGACCGCGCGCCCTCACCCTCTCCAGGTCGTCGTTCCGGCGCTGGGGCAGCGCTCGCTGTAACCTCCCCTTCTTCAGGAGTAATTCCTAGTGTGGCAGCTTGCAATATCCATCCACATGTTTATACTCTATTTTATTAAAGCCATTCAACTAGTTTTCTTTGCTTTAAGTTGTTGATATAATAAACCATTGTTTGAGTACTAAGTCGTTAGTATGTCTTCATGTATTGTCCTAGTTCTTCATTTTGTTAAACTGCAGAGGAAATCTGATCCCTTCAAGTATCGATATATCAATTGTTTCGATTGATATTCATATCGATTTACATAGTTTTCATGTGTTGAACGTAGATAACAATGTAAGTGTATTTAATAACGATCAATCATCATAATACCTCAATGGTAACCTGATAGTATGTAATATGAAGTGAAATAAACAACAGTAAATTGGTCCTCACATAGATGCGTGAATTGGCAGTGTTGGATCGTTGAGCATCAACCGTTCCGTCGTAGTATTTGTAAATATTTTAAGAAAAGTTCAGTAACCAGTAAATATTGATTTGTTTTTGATAACCATGTTGCCCATTTTTTACCCGTACTGTTTACTCGTAACATTATCGAAGGATGTGAATTGGTCGTCAGTACCCACTTCTTTGCTATGAGTAGAGAAGCACGTGCTTAGTGCCATTAAAGCAAAATCTTGAGAAAGATACCGTCTGTTCTAAAACAATTAGCGTATAAAAATGAGTAAATACGTCAAACATGTTCACTAATAACGGAGAATTTTTTTTTTACTTTATTATACGTCAGAAAAATCCATGAATTACTCATTCTCAATCATCTCCCTGTAAATTTTGTTTTCTGTGTCGTTTTTCATTGCTGAAGAGTGAACTATTCAGTGAAAACTTGCATCTCTTGTTGGGAAAGGAATAAGAGGAACCTAGACCATGAGATGAACTGATCATTTGCTCTTTGGCAGTTGCGGAAGATTTTTGTGATTTATGAAACATGTGTGAACGATGGTGAAAAAATGTCTCTGTGGGTACAATGAGTTTCCGGTTAGAAAAGGCATCGTTTCGTTGACGTATTTTTGGCGGATGACCTTTCATATTGTCCTTTTGCTACTGCGGCATAGGCTGTCTTCTGTAGCCCAAGGATATTTTACTTTGAACACCGATGTTTGTGTGCACTTTTCGTTGCCATTATATGAATTTTTTTGTTATTTTCCAGCACTGACATGAGGTGATGATGTAAATGCAAAGATTCTCGGAGCACCAATACGCGGAAAGCTCTAATGGTCTGGAAAAATTAACTTTTTCTCTTTCAATTAATTCACTGTTCGTTTTTTAGTTGAATTACTCTAATTAAAAAGGTATCTGATTTTACCCACCCTTTGCGTGGCAGTGGAGAGTTTTGGCAGCTTTTTATTCTTACAGGGTCAATTAACATACATTTTTTTAAAAGCTATCAATTGCTTGTTCGAAGTTTAATTTTCAAAAGTTTTATCACTTTTCGCTATATTCTATTGTGTCCTGTGCACGTTGTTATACGCGATTTTGTTCCTTCATGGCTGCTGTCTCTAATATAATGACGTGATAACGTTCATAGGTTCTAAAGGTTTTGGGTCATTGTCGCCTTTTGGCATCTAAAATTAATCTAGTATGTTCATTTGTATGCTTTCATTTTGATATGGATGCTTTGAGCTGATTGATATTCAACTATAATTTATGTTGTTTTCATTGTGATATTAAGTTTCTAGTACTCTTTTTTGTACTTGAAATGAATCTTGCTTGAGGTTCTAGTGGATATGCCCTGCATGGCAATATTTGAAAATGTATTGTTGACGACTTGAATTTGGAAGGGATGCTCTTTAGCAATAAAATTGCCGCTAAGCAGCTGACACGGTAGTTAAAATGATATTTTTATACTGGATACAGAATCTCACAAGTTACTTTTTAACTGTCACAGGTTATAAATGTCACTTGTTATAAATTTTCCGTTTTACACTACCTTACAATATTACTATCGAACCTGCATCTTGACGAGTATCGAGGTAATTAATTACCAAACCGCGAATTTTCTAAGAACTTTTGAGCTTAAGTTGCCAAAAAAATACCTATATTTTTTTTAATCATTCCAGAGCCTGACGATGAAGCTGGTCAAGTTTTCTTGTCAGATTTTGTTCGTAAATTATGTGTAACGAAAAGATGCCAAGGTACGTTCGTTTGTGATGGCGAGGAGATTATTAGCGAAAAGTCAAAGCTGCCAAGTTTTATGTTCCACTTGTCAGAATGTCCCACAGAAAAAGCTGTACCTTCACTCACGTTACAGATGATTACTCATCTAACACGAATTTCGATTGAAATGACAGAAGCTGATCACATTTTATTGTTCATTTACAATGTTGTTTGTATCCCAAATTACGTTCTGTGAACCGTATTTATTTTGATTTCTAAAGGTTTACTTGTCTTTCCGGGTCTTGAAGATCATGAGATTCCATTGTATGTATAGAAGTCGGTTGCCTTCCACTCACTGCCACATAATGTCTAGGATGGTGCTATGGTTTGCAATTAATGTGGCAGCTGCCCCAGCAAAGCGAACGACTTTCATATTTATTCCTACGCGCCTTCTGCTATGATGAGACCTTCCACCTCTATGGTGATGTTCATCTTGACTTTCGGTGCGAGATAGCTAAATAGCTGAAGCGCTAGTAAACATTTGGCCACTAAACTAACTAATTAACTTCTGCTATGACTTCCATGAAGCTAAATTTTGATGGTTTAATATCTAATATTACTGTGCGAAAAGTATATTAGAATTTGAACCCGGCTTATACACCATACACCTCAGGAGGACTTATGACTTGTGTCTGTACTCGTCAGAACTCCTATGGAATTTCGCGTTCCTAGGGGGCATCCCCCCCCCCCAAAGCTCACGGTGTCCGACTGTGGGTTTCAGTTGTGGTGTTGAGTTTATCATGTAGGTAAGATCCCTTGTATTTTTCTTCTCTGTCTCTCCTATGCGGGCGGCCGACGTCGCGTGTAAACGAACTCTTGTACCAGTGTCTTGGTTTCTTTTGCTTTTCACCTGTCCCTCCTTGTCACTTCGTCTCTTTGAGATGCTAATGCTGCTTCTTCCGAGCCAGCTTCAGCGGGCTGGACATTTGAGCCCTCCCTCCACTTTTGGGTGATAATTAATTTGAGACTTCGAATGATTGAGACCTTCCTTGCCGGCGATGTTATCTTTTGACCTCCGTCTCGAAGTAGCTTGATAGCTGAAGCGCTAGCAAACCATTCAACTGCTTATCATATCGTAATGATGTATTTCGAATATCTTAATCAAATTTTCCTCAAAGAATAGGTAGTCAAATCGATCTATTGTACGCATATCCCCTCAGTAAAAGTAACAGTTTACTTGTAATCCTGTAATGCGTATCTCCCAATTGTAAATACCATTATAAGATATGTCTTGTTGATTATTCTTTTGAAACTGAAACGGTTCCACGTCGGGTTTTGTAAGACTGGGGAAGCTGTATAGGAGCATCTGGATTTGCTGTTCATGAAACTAATCGGTCATCATTACCTTAACCATGTTAGGTTTAGTTTGCCCATTTTATGGAAGTAATCCTGTCTATGGCAGTGTTAGTACGATTTGTTAACCTTCTGTAAATAAGTAACTATAACTCGTATAGTCGTATTTCACGATTGACTCAGTCGAGGTCTTAAACATTATCATTACGGGTGCAAGCAGAACAATGCTGACGTTAAAATTCAATCACATTTTTCTATTCTCCACAAATCAACAAGTCAAAAATTAGATTAATCAGGTGCTTAAGAATCGGCAAAAAATACCAAGGGCCTTTAATTGAAAATTATTCAGGTGTGTCTGTCATTTTGGATGGTTATTCAGCTAGTTGAACCTGGTAGCGATACAGAACAACGCTAATTCGGTCGCAGAAAATATGTGCATTGCTGAATTTTCCAGAATTCAGTGTGAAAATGATATACGGTCAAGCCGATCGGAATTCACGACGTGACAAAATGGTATGCACTCCGACTTGCATCTGTACTTCATCATTCTTTTTCTCGTATTTTTAAAGACCATTCATCTAATCTACTATCCCTTTCAGGTTCAATTTTATACTGAAAGGTATATGGATCATTAATAAATCTAATTTTGAGTAGAATTCGTTGTTAGGGTAACAATGAATTAGCACGTTATTCCATCTATGGTCTAAGAGTTTTTCCATGCTGACGTCATAGAGCAAATAACTCCTTTTTTATGTACGTATGTGCCCTCCAACTTTTTCTAATACACATTTCATCATTTCTTTGAGTTTCATTAGCAATGGAATGCTACGTTTTTTGTTTACTTGAAAAAATAACCGTTTACCCGGAGAAATAACTTTACCATACATAGGTGGCCAATCCGACTCTCTACAAGCCAAAAGACAGTTATTTTCTAGTTCCCTCGCGATGTCCAAGTAGCTGGCAATGAAGCCGCAGATGAGCTCAGCGGTTGAAGAGACGCCACATTGGAATGATAGCGTTCCCCATCGAGATCATTACCCTATCATCCACAAGATACTTATTAACGAGTGGCTAGATTAGTAGACGAGGCTTAAAACAACAAACGCAAAATTAGAGTGAACGATTTTGGCCATCCTGGTCCAATCGCGTACGCCGAGTGGAAGTATGCCTCACTCGCGTCCGTATTGGACACGCCAGAATCGCCCATGGCCATCTCATGGAACGCGCTCCTGCTCTTTATTACATGGACTGCCTAGTGCACTAGACAGCGATCCATTTCTTGTGTGAGTGCCGTTTTTCGGTGTTGCCTGACGACAATTTTTCCCTCGCCTACCCCGAGTTGACCCCGACGAACACCTCAAAAGCATCTTGGCCCCACCAGAGCGTGGAGCTTATAACGTCGACCGTCGCATAGAGTACCTGAGAGCGATTAACATATTCGGCAGCATAATATGACCTGTTCAACATCTAATACATGTGATACTCTCTGATCTTTCGCCGCGACGCGCAATGTGACCTCCGGCGCGAGATAGCTCGTCCTGAAACGCAAGCAATTATGGCCACTGAACTAACTAACATCGAGTTAATTTCCTTTATCGAGTTCTGGCTTCGAGTTTCATGGAAGAGTTTAATTTATAGCTTTTGTGTCGAATTCATGAAAGCGTTGTGTTCAACAAATCACTTTTGCTGAACTGTTATTTTTATTGCTATGTATACTGAAATTCGGTGAATTAACTCGTACTCAGCTGTGAAATAATTGAATGTCAATGATTATGTTTTTACGCCTGGGGTTTGTTGATAGACAGCAACATTATAACCAGCTAAACTCCAAATCCTCTTCTATATTAAAGATGGATTGACAAGTTCAAATTAATAAAGTTGCTGTGAATCTATTGTAAGATTGAATAACACCCTTGCAAACGAACGATTGATACTCTATTAGCCAAGGCAGGAAGTGTTTGATGCGTTCAAACTCCTATCGCCCAGAGTCGCCGTTTACTCGATTGCTTCTCACTAGTTTAGGGCAGCAGCAATTCTCACGTCAATTTCGTAAATGGCAGTTCGTAATCGATATGCGTTGAGGAAAGCAGTCCCTGATGACAAAAGTTTCATCAGGCGATCCTGGTGCGAATGGGATTGAAAATACTTACGCCGCATCTCATTTTAAGTGTCGTTTCTGGGTTGGACATGTCTACCTACGTGTTCATTGCGATGGAATGAAATTTTGACGTCCAAATTCGAATATGGATAAATTCGAAAACGTCATATAAATTTACCTTTTATTTACAAGTAATTAGCTTGGTTATAATCCTGATATAATTGTTTTAAATCATGTAGTCCTCTTTTGGATTTTTTATCCGGTTTCGGATGATGGCTATTATTGTGCAATCTATTGCGCACGGATAAAATTCTTAGAAACAGTTGTTTAACTATTAACACTTGCAAGGTTACATAAATCCAGGAATTTACCCTACTAAATTCTGGAAACGGAAAATTTTTCAGTTTGGTTTTTTGTCTTATAATTTCCATATGATCGACAATAGAGGACTGGTTTTAGCCCATGAACTTGCATTTTACAATAAATGCAATATAAGAAGCGGGTGCGTGAGGTCCAAGTAGCATCTGTTTCATCAGACGAGAGCTTCCGAGAGGAAGCATC